GATACGTTCCGACTTATACGGAAAATTTCGTTACCGCGCATCGTAGGAGCGGAACACTGTCGTAAGTCGAGGAGCCTCTATATATTCTGGAAACTTTCATTTGTTCAAACAGGTCTTATTCAGTGTAAGTACTTAAAATTTAGCAAGGACTAATTTATTTTAATGAACAATATTAATAAATAAAATGGCAAAAGAAGGACAGAAAAATTTCAAATCAGTAGCCAACTGGTGTCAGAGGAAGCTGAGAAAATGTTTTAGACTAAGGTGCAAGAGGCTTATAAAACATCATAAAAACTTGTAAAATATTAATCTGTAGAGTAATGAAGAACTTTTATTGTGAATAGGAAGTACAAGGAAACTACTTCAAACAGAGCTGAAATGTTTGTGCCACAGAATTAGGAAAGGATGTCTGGAGACTTTAATATTCACAGGGCACATTGAAGACATAAGAACCAAGGGGAGCGAGTAATCTACTTGATAAGTTTGAGTAAGTGGATGGCAGAACAAAGATCCTAAATTCTAAGAGGACCTGAAAAAGAGCAAGAATTACGGAGAGTAGCAATGGTAGGAAGTTGTAGAAAGTTATGATCTTAAAGAACATAGCATATCAAAGAAGAGGACACTTTTCATTATATTTCAGCATGTCATTCTTTTCTTCCAAGACTTTATACTCAGAGGTTGAATTACATAATTACAGCTTGAAGTTTAATGTTCTAATAATTTTAATCCGCCAAAATCTATGTTCCTAATTGATCTATGAAACTCTAAATTTCTCTCCGAAGGTGGGGCAGGATCAGAACTAATCTAGAGTCGTTTACTTAAGATGTTTGTCAACACTAAGATCATCATCATCATCAGCAGTTCCATCATCGCATGGGGTCATTGGGTCACGGTGCAGCTGAACACCTGACCAGTTCCCTTCACATGTCTGGGTTGAAAGCTGGAGTGGAACCCATTCACGCATAAGTAAATCTGGTGCAGCTCATTCCTCTCCAGGTCAACCAGAGCCGATGATCTCCAACTTGAAGGCCTACCTGAGTCAGTTTAGCAGCTATGAGCTCGGTTTATACCATTGTGCGAGATCGCCATTGACCCAACAAGAATGTTCATCTGCCCTTTGTCTGGTATTGTTTTTAATGCCGCGAGGGATGTAGCTACTCTCCTCACTCGAAAAAACCCTGGTCAGGGAACTGGTTTAGTCGCTAAAGGCCCGATCATGCGGGCGGTAAAATTGAATTACATGGTACCAGTAGCACTAGTAGAATGACTTGACATGAAAGATATAATATAGCATCACAATCAGAACTGATTTGGGTTTTTTGCATAAATCTAACCATTCCCCCCAACTCCCCTCACAGTTCCTTCATCTTTACTGTGTACCTGTCAGAAAGGGTCGGGTTAGCTTTATTCTTTATTATTTCAGCATTCCTCCGACACAGTCAAGTCTGAATGATAGGAGTGTGTTTACTTTTCAATAACATTGATTACATAAGATACAACGCCAAGTGACAAGGTTCAGCTCACCTGGAGGATTTGTGTTTTCGTACCATTCGTCCACTGAAGGAAAATCTAAAAAATAAATTAATATCCAGTGGTAATATTGTTCTTCGCAGCCAACACTCACTCCTTCATCATCACGATTAAAAAAAATTAATCATCATTATTTTAAACAAAATAAGTGAAATACTCTTTCTTTTCTTTAAAAATGATTTCAAAACAAAACAAAGTAATACAAAGCATTTTTTCTTTTATACAGCGGTGTTCACACTGTACAAGGTTCGAGAGCCACTCGCGGTAGAGGGTTAAAGCGTAAGAGGCATTGGTTATGTGGATGTATGTGGAAGATAACGGTTAACCCTTGACTTGAACAGGTCAAGAATATTGTGGTCGAGGAATCAACCTCTTGGACATTTTTTTTATATTTTTTATGGCTTATCATCCTTTAGCAGGTTATTTAAAGCCAGAAATTATTTGTAGATGGTTAGAATTTTTTGGAGATAATAATGATTTGATAATACAAGTAGTACTAATTAACCCATAGCTGCAGGGATAAGAGGTGAATTCATACGTTTCCCAATGGTATTTGCGTAAGTGTATATAACGAACTCAACTGGAATTGGAACTCTGCATTCCGATTTCCAATTCCGAATCATTATTCATTACACCACCCGCACATCCGAACTCTTGGGATTTGTTTCCACAAGGCATTGGTTCATGGGAAGTAGCTGTTTGAGTGAAAGAAAGGCAGACATTTTTTTTATTTTTGTAAAAAATAGTACCACACCTTTAATGAGTTTGTTTCATTAACTATCAGTATCAGGCATTTGCTTTTAGCAAAACAATTTTCTATTATTTGTAACTTTTCCCACTATTGTTTTAAATTGAAAATGACAACAGTAAAATAGTATCTTTTTTTTTTCTTGTCAAAAGTTCCTGGGAGTGGTTCAGAATATCATTTTCTATCATTCATGCCACCACAAATTCCTCTCACTTTTATTTC